GTAGCGGAGTATTTTTAAAGAAAAGTCTAGGTGTTTGGAAATCCGATGAAACACTGTCTCGAGTGTTTAATTGAGAAATATTACTTGAAAACACTAGAAAGTCTACTACGGGTGTCCATGCTGACCGTTCTAGAGCACATCAGCTCGTCACAGATCTCCTGCAAGAGTGTTACGTTTCAATTTCTAATTTCTCACTGACATGGTGTGATGATATCTTTTTACAGATCAACCTAAGATCACTGTTCATCCAGAAGCTGAGACACAAACAGAAGGAGAAAACGTGACTTTATCTTGTGACGCTTCTGGCAATCCAGCACCGACAATATCATGGACCAGAAATGGATCTCTTGCAGATACAAGTGACAATTCCAGAATCAGCTTTTCAGCAGACAGAAAGCAGTTGGCTATAACGAATGTGGACAGGACAGATAGCGGAGTATATCGATGTGTGGCGAGCAACAGTCTTGGAAATGATACCTCCAATGCTACTACACTGGATATCCAATGTAAGTACACTAACAGTGGAACCCCGCCTTACGGCAACCTCGTTATTACCGGCCTTTTATTTTGGCCCGAGTAAATGCAATTGTCACGTTATTTTTAGTAAGAAAAAAATACTTTGTCCTCGTGCTTTTTGTGTGTGTTAAATGCTTTGCTTATTTTATATTTCATTTAAACGTTTCTTCGCAGGTTTGATTTCTGTACGCATGATTGTGTTTTCATTTTGTTACATTTTTTTTTTTTTCATAATTGCAGATAAACCTAAGATCACTGTTCATCCCGAAGCTGAGACAACAAAAACAGAAGGAGAAAACGTGACTCTATCATGTGATGCTACAGCAAATCCAGTACCGACATTGTCATGGACCAGAAATGGTTCTCCTATAGATACAAGTGACAATTCCAGGATCAGTTTCTCAGCAGACAAAAAGCAGTTGACTATAACGAATGTGAGCAGAACAGACAGCGGAGAATATCGATGTGTGGCGAAAAATAGCGTTGGAAATGCTACCTCAAATATTGCTACGATATATATCGTATGTAAGTACAAGGGTCCTACATACCAATTGTATTTTTAAAATTGATGTCGTCAAAAATAATTATTGCATGCTGCCGGATAATAATAAGCGATACACCAATCCTTCGAATTCATACTGTAACCTTTATAGACCGGTTCGCGGTTTTACCGTAATTTTTAATGAAGTACAAACATGGTGCGAAATACAGTTTTGGTATTGTATGGGAATCCTATGTCAATTTTTTTTGTTCGTAAAATTTGATTCTTTTAAAAATATTGACTCTGCAAACTTAAAAAAGTAAAAATAAATACTGATCAAATTTAAGGGATGCATCTCTGCTGGTACTGATTAAAGCAAGGTCAGTTTTCCATATATTTAAAAACTTTCGCAGGAAACGTTCCAGACAAATGCATGGAAAACTGAAAACGCTACTGCACGCTTCTTAGCTAATCTTCACTACTGACATTTGATCAGTAAGCTCTTTTGCCAGGTATCTTAGGCTTTTTTACCCTGTTCAAAGTGTTGTAATTCATGTTCAAACCTCATCCAACATGGTGGAATAAACTGTGAACTCGATCAGTCTTCACAACAGTTAAGTCTCACAAAAGCATTCAAAACTTGAGTAAAGATGCCCATTCATGCACCATCATGATTCTAATGCACATCGGCTGGTCACAGATCTCTATTGTACATATCGACACATAAGATGACAGATTTCCCAATTGTAGGAATCAAAGTATTAAGTATCAGTTTCACTACAGTTTGCTATTTCTTACATGTATTGTTGATATCTGTTCACAGACCAACCTAAGATCACTGCTCATCCAGAAGCTCAGACAACAAAAAGAGAAGGAGATAACGTGACTTTATCTTGTAACGCTAGTGGAAATCCAAAACCAACAATATCATGGACTGTTCCTAAAGATTCGATCAGGATCAGTTTTTCAGCAGATAAAAAGCAGTTGACTATAAACGAATGTAAACAGGAAAGACAGCGGAGAATATCAATGTGTAGCGAACAACAGTCTTGGAAATGATACCTCCAATGCTGCTACACTGAATGTCCTATGTAAGTATTTAATTAAGCTGTCACTATAATTAGCTATAATTGAGAAGGCCTCTCCTTTTCTTCTCGAGAAAATACCAATTGTTGATCACATTTAGTGGAATTTAAAAAGCCATTGTCTCTATAACGATTAGCCAGTAAATTTAAAGATCGATAAAGACGAAAAAATCTCTACGTTTTGCGTTTTTTTGTGTATGTTTTTTTTCCATTTTTGCTCAAACAATTGTTGTTTTTGTAAACAAATTTATAATTTATTCTGGATCTCATGAAAACAAATCCTAGCAGTATGCGGGATGGTTGTCACACTTGAACCTAGTTATATGGCCTTAGCTCCCACGAGTCTCCTGTAGCTCAGTGGTAGAGCGTCCGACCGGTGTGCGGAAGGTCATAGGTTCGACTCCTGTTGGGGGAACTCGGAATTTTTTTTCCGAGTAGCTTGTGTCACTGACAGAATAATATCTTTCTCAATTATATCCAGTGTTTAGAAGTTTTCACGGATTTCCAGAACAAAGCAAAGGCAGAAAATCTGGGTGGCTGGATTTCCTTTCCCCAAAACCATAAATTCAGTCTTATTTTCGAACAGTTTAAATTTAACTCACACAAGAGAGGATGATCTAAGAGAAGGATTCCCCGTACCCCATGATAATTTTTTGAAAGATATTAATAGTTTCGCGCCATACTGTGTAAGTTATTTTTATTTCCATCTGATCGAGGCTCCGACATCACGTTACTCGAACTGGCCAATCAGGTAGCGCTCTTAAAATAGCTCAGCTATGGACTGAAAGTTAAAAATAGATTTCAAAAAATTATCATTGGAAGAGACCCATGTATGGGGGAATGCTTCTCTTAGATCATCCTCTCTTGCTCACAGTATTACGTTTGAATATTCATTGTAAAAAGGGAGCTTTTTCGTTACTCCTCTTTTTGAAGTCCAATCTCATCCGCAGCATTCATTGATGTAAAACAGACATGTTGTTTGTCTGTTGTTTCACGACAAAATACATAAAAGGGAATTGATTTAGAAATTTGCTTCGATTTCAAGTACCTTGGCTTATACACCTTCGTAGGGGGGGGGGGGGGGGGGGCTTATAACCGGGATTTAACGGAGTTTAGTTATGGTGGGATTTGCTCCATTGTGAACCTGTTTCTTGAAGCTAATTAATTTCAAGGACGATGGTTAAAGTGTATAGATATCTGGACTCCAGAGTAGGCCTACGAGCCATTTAAGGGATAAGAGAAATACTTACTCCATCGATTTCCATTACAGTTATACCAGACGTGACAATTGCTGGTGGACCAGAACAGTTTGCAGTTATAGGCAAACAAACACTGTTGACATGTCGGTATAACGCCTTACCACCTGTGTCTGAAGTGCGGTGGATAAAAGATGGGACTGTGATAGCAAGAAATGCTATTGTGAAGATTAATGACTCACGAGTAACTATTCCACATCACAATGAAACCCAAGTACAGCTGTCAATCACTGCAACTACGTCACAGGATGCTGGGAATTACACCTGTCTTGTTACAAATGATGTTGGTAATTCATCCGATACGATATCAATGATAAGTCAAGGTGTGTTTTAGTGTACGAAACCAACTACCTGGGTACTTTATATTATTAGTGATGTTTAGTTCGGGAAGTCAAGTGTTTTATTTTGATGGGCAAGTTAAAGTCTCAAACAGGATTTCCAGCTACCAGGAACAGAACATTTTTTCGTGGAATCACTTGCTTTTGGTGTTAATACACCTACAGTTAGATTACATAATTGTAGAGACACGTCACTCCACTTAGAAAGCGATTATAACCATACAAATTGGTATTTATTTTAAGCAATTTATTACAACTATCCCCTCTCCGCTCCTAAAAAATTGAAGTTCCATTAGCATGAGACCAACATTGATTTGGGGGCTGGGGAGCATAACCATTGCGAGAGCTTCAAAATTGCGCAAAACCGCGAGTGTCTTTTTTCGTCTGATTGTTGGCACGAGTGAAACGTTGTGGCACAATCATGTCAATTCACATGTAGTCATTACTTTTCGATTTAGTATGATGCTGTCAATGTGTGTTTTATAGAACATTACCACCCCTGAAGTGATCTGCGGCGATATTTGTCGTTAATTCGGTTACCGCGACCAACTGATACAGAAGCTCTCAAGCTTCAAACGACCGAAATCCCGTGGGTGGGAGCCTCTCATACAAAAGTGACGGGAGTGATCGTGGTATCTTTTAGGGGTTAAAAATTGTGGTTTGGTACCGCTTGGGGTGTCTAAATCTAACATGACCACTGTTAGAGATATTCCGGTACCTTTTAGGGTATTAAGAAGGAAAAAATATGACAAGAACTACTTGTCGTCTTAGAAATGGTACATGTTAGGTGGAAAATGAATTTGAGCCACGCCCACAAAAGGAGATTTTGGTACCCCATTTTAGCTCTTATATCCCATTTTCAGTTCAAAGTAAATTGAGAAATAAGATTAAAAAAATACTGGAATAATAATAAGTGTACTAATTGTCTAACATAACTTTGTTGTGGTTTTACAGAGCAACCTTCGATCGATGCTCATCCTGAGGGAGTCACAATCAGGGAAGGACAAAACGTGACTTTATCTTGTAACGCTACTGGAAATCCAGAACCGACAATATCATGGTCCAGAAATGGATCTCCTGTAGATAAAAGTGACAATTCCTCCAGGATCAGTTTTTCAGGAAACAAAAAGCAGTTGACTATAACGAATGTGAGCAGGACAGACAGCGGAGAATATCGATGTGTGGCGAGCAACAGGGTTGGAACTGATACCTCCAATCCCGCTACACTGGATGTCCAATGTAAGTACAGTGTTTTATTTTAGTTATCGAAAACGTGCAGTTCAAATACTAACGCTGTAGTTTGGGCTTCTTCTCTTCTGTGGGAGACGCCGTGGCCTAATGGTTAGCGTACTGGACTCCGGATCGAGCGGTCCGGGTTCGAGCCCTGGCCAGGGTCATTGTGTTGTGTTCTTGGGCAAGACACTTTACTCTCACAGTGTCTCTCTCGACTCAGGAGTATAAATGTGTACCGGCGACAAAATGCTGGGGGTAACATGCGATGGACTAGCATCCCATCCAGGGGGATGAGCAATACTCCTAGTCGGGTTTATGCTACGGAAACTGGGATAAGCTCTGGCAGTGTGGGCCAGTTTGTCCCGAGTGCTGCTTTACCTAAACTGCCGAGTAACCGTACCCTGAATTGTTCCTGACCCTTAAAGCTGCCCACGTTTTGAGCGATTTCTCAACGTTAATCAAGAGATACCCAAGGTTATTTCACTTTCTGGATTCCACCGAATCCAGGTTCGAGAGTGCAAATGAATGATTAGTTAGCTGTGCTGAATTCCAGATAATCACAAACTCAATGTTTGTTCTTTTGCATTCAAACTCAGCATGTTTCAAATTACGCTGTTTGAAGTGACTGAACTGACCTGATTGACTCATGAGCAATTTATGGTATTAGCTTAACAATCACGCTTTCTGTTTGTGTATTTTCATAAGTACAAGTTTCATATACCTTATTTCATTATTTCCAGAGTTATTCATCATTTTGTGATTTGTTTCCGTGCTGTTTTCTTCCTCGTATGATGTCATATTTGCGTGATACAAAAACCTGAATATCTCTGCAATAAGACAAGATATCACAAAAACAAAAACACCAACTTTCCTCATTTTGAAAGGACTCAGTTTCAAATAAGTTTAATTTGTTTTTCACTTCATTATCATCATTATCATCATTATCATCGTCATTCCTTGCGCGCCAATGTCGCATGGGGAATATTAATGCACTTCACAGGCACTTTAAAAAATTCCCTTGGTTTTACGCTTGACTAAACTTTATTGACATGCCTATTATTGGTTATGGAATTTGCCTGTGAATTTGCATACTAGTTAATCGATTTTCTGCCACCGATTGATTCTCTTCTCAAAACATCTGAGCGACGGAAATAGAAACCTGATGTATGTTTGAGAGAAGAAGGCTTCCCATTCAGGTCTCTCAGAATGGTTGTTGAAACATTTTTACTGCTCTTTCTCGCTGTACCTTTCACACAGGCAGGTTAGTTGTTTTAGTCAAGGCATGCTGTGTTTATGTTTTAAAAATTGTACATTATGTTGCTCTGTTATAAAGTGTATCACTTTCATACAACAATCCCTCGATTGTAGTCCTTCCTTACGATCAAGGTGTTTTATCAATCGAGATTTCACAAGGTATAGATTACCAATTAACTCGTGATCTAAGATCAGTTGATACACTTCGTACTTGGCAAATTTTCACGATTTTTCGCAAAACTTCCGGGTACACTGTGTAAAACAACAGGAGAGAGTGGATTAACTCGATTAAGGAATAAAAGGCCTAAGTTTTTGCGCTATCGTTCGCAGTTAGTTTATGTTAACACGACATTGAAGACAAACGGAAAGAATTCAGTCTTCTCTACACGGATTTCAAACAAAGATAATTGGTAATGTCGTAGCAAACTACCACCAAAAGTGACTTTAAATCAGCCGGGAAGAAGAAGCAGATGTCAGTTCATTGTTTGAACACTTCACTGGTATCACAACAAAACAACCCTCTGCAGTAGTCGTACATCTTTGATCGTCAAATCTTCAGCCTATAGTTGAACCAATATTAGGATTCAAGATACAGAAGATGAGTGTTACCGATACACACTGTTAAACATTCTAATCATACTTTAATCTTTATTCACGACTGAACGCTTACAGCGAATATGAAATTCTGGCTGTTTGTTTTTCGCATTGTTTGCCCCAAACTCCATAAACTCAGGTTAACTTGTTTTCTAACACTTCTCAATTGCGCATACCGCCGGTTCAATCTCAGTATTAACAGTATTAAAGAGGACGCTATTTCTGTAGCGGTATCAGTACCCTCAAGGAACAAGAGCCAGTAACAATCCGTCAGTTGTAATATTGTGTATAAATGTTATTTGTATACTTATCTTTTGCAAACTTATCGAGCAGACTACGTTGTTATCTACCCGAAATAATCTCAAGCAGAGTTTTTAATGTCTATGTGTTCACGAGAATAAGATGGTTTGAACGTCAGCGCCATGACGTGGCTCAAAGTTTAAACTAGCGTAACATTCTTGGACTGCTCGCGAATGTAAACAAACTGAATCAAATTAAACTTACAGAACCCCGATATAACGAAGTATCCGCTATAACGAACGATATTCTTCAGCCCGGCCAATTAAAGTTACATGGAACAAAACCGCGTTATAACGAGCCCTCGTTATAACGAACACGTTTTCCCGGTCCCTGGACACTTCGTTGTAGTTCTTTCATATGGTTTGATTTACATCATTCCGTCTGAACTGAGTAAAAAACTCACTGTATGTCTCAAACGACATTGAATAACAATATACAGTGCAACAATATATAACTTGATGACTACTCGTGCAAAGAATTCCACAGCCATCGGAAGCCCAGTAACGCGTAATATCGAGTTTGTATAGAGCGGTTTGGAACCGGCTGAGAATTCGATAAAGGAAACTTACTCAATAAAATTTCAAATCTCTTACATTAAATAGAAAACAACTGAGTTATATTTATCATACAGTTGAATCCCGATAACTCGAACCCTCGATAACTCGAACTGACCTCCTGCTAACTCAAACCTTTTTCGATTCCCCTTCAGGCCATTTTCTTACTAATTTTACCCTCAATAACTCGAACCTCTCGATAACTCGAACCTTTTTCGATTCCCCTTGAAGGTTCGAGTTATCGGGATTCAACTGTATTTATTTAGTAAAGTTTCCTTTTTTTATTATTTTAAAGTTGAAAAACGTGTTTCGGATGTTCGACATCCATCGTCAAATTATGCAAAAATGAACCGCAAAGTGCAGATATTATATATGTTATAAAATGTAGACAAATACTAGAAAGTACTTGAAAGTGGTTGGTAAAAAAAATTGTGAAAAAAGAACTAACAAATAGACAAGTGGAGAAGAAAACTGATATAAAACAATAACTGTTATCAAAGACAAAAAGAATCGAATAACGGAAGGGGACTATATATACCTAAAAGGTAAGCGTTAGTTCTGCTATTATTATTACTATTATTTTTCTTTTTTGGTAGTAGTTATTGTTTTTCATTTTTCTTTTCCATTTTTTAATTGTAAAAAAGCCGATACGTTTAGGTATTTTGCCGCCAGACCAGTCCGGTTTGCAATGCAAAAGAATTTAGTCCGCAGTTCTTATAGCTATTTCAAGGCAGTGTCATGTTAGTTGGTATCGTTTGTATACTGATGTTATTCCATGGACACGATTCAGGAAATTGACTTGAAATGACAAGTATAGAAAGTATTGAGCATAGGAAACCGCGAAATGATGGAATTTGTTTCGAGATTTGTGAACTTCCTTCCTGTTCACAAATGATTCCTGTATGATTCATCCGTTTCATGGTCACGTCACGTTATAAGTCCAAATTAGTATACAACTCTAAAAGTGCATATTGTCGTGAGCATGTTTTGATCCCTTAATTTTTAGAGCTTATGTTGACTATGTTGTTGCTAAAGGCCCGTTTACACATGCGATTTTTGATGCGATTTGTCGCGGCGATTTGGCGGCGATTTATCGCGCAACTTGCGCGATAAATCGCCGCAACTGCGCAAGTGTAAACTACCTGCGATTTCACGGCGATTTGTATGGCGAATTGTAGGAGATGTATCAAATCGCCGATAAATCGCATCAAAATTCGAGCAAGTTCGAAACATCGGCGACAAATCGCAGTCAAATCGCCATGAAATCTCAGCTGGTTTACACGGGCGATTTGGAATCGTGCGATAAATCGCATCAAAAATCGCATGTGTAAACGGGCCTTAACACTCACAGCTATAAATTTAGCGATTTGAGAATATTCCAGCTTTCACAACATTCAACACAAGAAATAGTTCCTTCTCGCGTTTTTATCGTGGAATGGATCGATATACAATGTATCGAAACTTTCGTATTCTTCAATCGCACATGATACAAACCACCTCAGTTTTCGCACCGCTCTTTTCTCTTTCTCTTCTGTTTCTTGTTGTTCTTCTTTATTTAAAGGGCACTATCACGGGAATTTTTCAGCTTTTTTGGCCAAAACAAATAATTATGACTAAGTACCTTAGCTCAAACACGAAATGCCCCTATAACATGAAGAGGAAGATATCAAGTGAATTGTTGAAGGGAGAGCAAACCGTAATTAGTTTTTAGCGACTTTTCCAAGACGCAAGGGCATAATTTGAAAAAGTCTGCCCGACTTTTTCAAAAAAGATCTAAACGGCCGCCGTCTCACATGGGAAACTCACGATAGCACTCCTTTTATAGCTTCAGTATAGTAATAGTAATTTTTAACAAAACTGTACCATTATTTTTAGGTTTCCATTGATATAAATATGTCTTTTGGCTTTTGAATTTTTAACTGATGCTCATGATAGTGCCCCTTTAACAGACGCATTATCAGTCTGGACGTCTGCAATTTTTTTTAGTGCGTAGTAGTATATAGAGACGGGCACAAGACGGATTATGCGTCAAGACAAACTATCTGCTTTAGTTTGTCTTGAACGAGGAACTAAGAGACGAACTTGGCTGAGACGGATAATCCGTCTGTGTGTATAAATACGGGGGGCATCAGACGAATTATGCGTCTCAGCATAAAGACAGACACACGATGGATAATGCGTCAAGACGAACTATCTGCTTTTGTGGCATTTTGTGACATTGTGTGTCTTTAAACTAGACCCATAACTCGTCTGGACGGATTATGCGTTTCTAGTTTAAAATGAGTCAATATTTCATTCTAACTCAAATAGTGTTTCACTTGCAGATATACCAGCAGTGGCAATTGATGGAGGTCAAGAGCAGTTTGTAGCTGTAGGCAATGAAATACTGCTGACGTGTCGGTATAACGCTTCGCCACCAGCGACTGAAGTGCAGTGGATAAAAGATGGAACTGTGATAGCAA